TTCAATAACCTCATATGCATGTAAAAGCTGGATCGTGAATAAGGAAGACCATAGAAGAATTGATGGTTTGGCGTTATTGTGTTGGATGAGAATATTGAAAGTGCCGTGGGCTGTCAAAAGAACCAACAGATCTGTGTTGGAAGAAGTGCAGCCAGAGTGCTCCTTGGAGTCCAGGATGGCCAAAGTGTGTCTCTCATACTTCAGACATATTGTCAGGAGGGACCAGTCACTGGAGAAGGACATCATGTTTGGTAAAGTGGAGGATCAGAGAAAAGAGGAAGACCCCCCAGTGAGATGGATTGGCAAAGTGGCAGCATCAATGGGCTCAAGTGTGGCAATAATCTTGAGGTTGGCCCAGGATCAGGCAGTGTTTTGTTCTGTTGTGCATAAGGTCACAATGAGTCGGTACTGACTCGATGGCACCTAACAACAACAACAACAACAACAATGACAACAACAACAATAATTATGGATAAAGGAGTCAAGCCTGAATGACTTAAAGGCGATATTGTAAGGAACTGGTTAAGTATTTGTGTGTGAGGTAAGGGGATATAATGCTCAGTGATCTTGGGTTTTTACTTGGGCAGCTGCAACCTAATGGCAGGATGATGCTTTTTATTGAACTGGAAATACCAGACAGTGGAGTAAGTACAGTGGGGAAGATGTTGTTTTTGTTTGGACATGAATTATTAACAAGTGATAAATAATCTATCTGAAATCCCCAGTTTCAAGGAATTGAAATAAAAAACTGTGTCAAATTTTAAAGCTATAATGATATCTAGTCTGCAGCCCATGTTTAGGAGTTGCAGGAAAAAAAAAATTGGACCATATACCAGGGTAAGTAAAAATAAGTATTGCTACAAAATAATAGAAATCTTTTTTAAACAAAAATATAAAAATATGAAGCTATTATTTCTTAACATATCCCCCGTATATGTCTTCCATTTCTCTAACCTTTCCCTGAAGATTTCTGTACTCCTTGTTTTATACCACATCAATATAGCAGTTTTTGTATTCTTGAGAGACTCAAATTGTGTTCCTTTGAAATGTCCTTTTAGTTTATTTATTTATTTTTAAACAAAATTTTTATTGTGAATTGGGTGAAGGTTTGTAGAGCAGATCAGTTTTTTATTCAACAATTTATATACATTTTGTTTTATCTCATTGACTGCAATTCCTACAAGGTAGAGTCCTTCTCTTTGTATTTCCTGTTTCTGTTTCATTCCTCCTCCTATTCTAACTCTTCTGAATTCTGTTCTTGGGTAAATGTTGCCTTTTGATTTCAAATGGTCGATTACTCTAAGGCTAATAATACCTGCTAGTGTTATTGTTCCTCTTAAGTTGTTGCTGTTAAGTCATGTTCCTTTTATAGACCTGTCTATTGTTTGGCTGAAAATTGAGCTAAAGGATGAGTTTATATCAAGACCTAAAGGGTGACTAAGGGTCACAGTGTCAGGGTTCCACAAATCTCTATCCAACCTGCAAGCCTGGTTTTTGTTATGATTTTGCATTTTGTTTCATATTTTCTCCCACTCTATCAAGAGCCTTCTAATGTGGTTACTTTCAGAGCAATTAGTCATGCGCTATCTAATTCTTCATATCTTGGTGTCATGGAGACTTAATGTTTACATGGACTAGGTGTTTCCATGTGTCTTCAATTATCATCACTTTTCTTTCTTCTGGACAAGGAAAGACCTTAGAGGACAACTCATGAGGTTTTGAGACCCCAGTTACTACTCACTAAAGTAGAATGTTCTTGCTATTCTCAAAAATTAGCAAATGTATTGTGATGCTAAAAATTCTTCACACGTTCACGGCCTTTTTCTTTCCAATGTGATTTTCAATTTTCTTAAAACATCTTGATAATAAGCCCCCACGATTCCCTTTTGTCCTTTGGAAAAATCTGTCAGGATTATCCGTTTGGATTCCTCAAAGCAGTCACCATAACTTTCTGAGCTGACCTCACTGCCTTGAATATAAGTGGTCAAGCAGATCCAATTGGAAACCACTGGTTTGTTTAGACCTTTGTTTTTGAAGGCATCCTAGTGAGACTAAGATAGGTATGTTACTGAGAGAACTTGTCTGCAGTCATTCACTGATTGCAGAAACATGTTCAAACATATTTTGTTTGGAATAAAACCTATGTATGTATGAATTGAAACCGTAGTAGAGATGCTTTCTTTACTTACCCTTACATATCTCCTAGAATCCTAGTGTGGCAGTGTGGATTAATGAGCTGGACTACAAAATTGGTTTGTACCATAAGGTATAGTCGGAACTGACTAGACAGCACTTAACAACAACAGCAACAATATTCATCCAGTACTGGACACCATCTGATCCCAATAGTGGTCAGGTTTAACCTAAGGCATCTCTGCATAGTAACTGTAGTTGATTTTGTAGCTGTGATAGATATTTCTCATAGCAGTATGCTGGAAAAAGGTATTCCTCAGTTAATGGGTGGGAAAGACCCAGATTTCTAGGAGATATGTGTTGTTATTGTTATTAAGTGCTGTCAAGTTGATTCCAACTGATAACAACCCTATACAGGGTTTCGGAGGAGCCACTGGTGAGCTTGAACCACCAACTTTGTTGTTTGAACTAATCTTGCAGTCCAGCACATTAACCCACAGCACCACACCAAATGGAGCTATTAGAAAAATATCAATTCTTGAAGTTGATTCAAGACAAATTAAGTCAATATTTCCAGATGACTCTACTGTACAATCAAGGTTGAAAACTATTCTTTACAAAAAAAACAAAAACTCTACAAGAGTTAGAGTCCCCTTACTGAGTAGTGAAGAAAATCATCCTTGGAGGCATGAACAGAACAATTATCTTGGATAGAGGGGTCTGGAAGGAATATTCTGAAGTTGAGAGAAGCAGACAAAAGGACTAGGTACAGAGAAAAAACTTGGAAAATAAGATGATAAGGAAACAAGATGTTCCAAATGGTTCAGCGTTCAACCTGTAGCCAAAAGTTTGAAGATTCAAATGCACCCAGAGACATCTCAAGACAGGATTGCTGATCTGCTTCTGAAAAGTCCCAGGCTTGAAATCCCATGGAAGGGTTCTACTATGCATGCTTAGAGTTACTGTGAGTCAGAGCTGACCCATCATCAACTTATAACAAGACAGAGGTTAAAGGTTTGTTGACAAATATTTGAATTAGACGTCACTGCATGGTGGTGGTAGTGGTAGTTATGTGCCATGGAGTTAATTCTGACTCATAGCGACCCTGTACAGGGTTTCCAAGGCTGTAAATCTTTATGGGAGCAGAAAACCTCATCTTTCTCCTGCAGAACAGCTGGTAGTCTTGAACTGCTGACCTTGATATTAGCCCCCTGATTCTCAACCACTAAATCACCAGAGCTCCTTGATGGCATATATATGACCACACAATTATGAATCCAGAAAGCTTAGGTATGCCTTGTAGGAACTTATACATGAATTATCTTGTACTATTGTTTAATACTTAAAATAAATATTGAATAAAAGTTGATCATTGTATGCAGGTTGATGAACACATATTCTGGAAACGAATCCCTAGGGACAGACAGCAGCTCAGTGATTGCTTGAGGGTGGGGAAGTCCTGGAAGGGGCAGAAGAGAAGAGTTTAAAGGGCACTAGGAAACATCTTATGTGATGTATATATTTACTACCTTGACTGTGGTGATGGTTTCTCTGATACATACATTTGTCAAAATTTACCATATTGAACACTTTAAACACATGCATTTTATTGTGTAAAATTATTCTTCAATAAAGTTGTTATTTTTAAAAAGGAAATGTCCTGGAACTCAGATATCCAAATATTGAAATTACTTTCATAACCAGTTTACAAACCGTTAAAATTAGTCTTATTTGTTAAAGTTATACATTAAAACATTTTAAAAACCAGATTATATGTTATTGTTGTTAAATGCCATCGAATCAATTCTGACCCATAGCAACTCTGTATAGGGTTTTTGAGGAGCAGCTGGTGAGCTTGAACCTCCAACCTTGTGTTTCAAACCGACTTTGCAGTCTAGTGCATTAACCCGCAGAGCCACGCCAGGAGTCCAATGATATATTATGTAGCTAAACTTCTTGTTGCTGTTAAGTGACATCAAGTTAGTTTTGACTCATGGTGACCTTGTATAAGCTTTCCAAAGAGCACCTGGTAGATTTGAACCATTTCTTAATCATCAAAATTGATTCCAAATAACTTGTCTATTTTAATGAAACAAATGCATCTTCAAGAGGCAAATATTTGATTCTCTTAAGAAACTTAAAAAAAAAAAAGGCTCTTGTAAGAACTGGCTACTTTGGAAGGGAACCTGAGGGATTTAGTAAGAATGTCCTGGATTTGTTTAAGGATGAGTGTTTTGTGTTTTAAGAATGAGTGCTAGATCAATTTGTTTATAAGATCCTGGGGTCACACTGGACAGAAAGGTCAGTTAGAACTTAAGGCTGGTGGTTCAAATTCACCAGCTACTCATCCGAAAGCCTGCATAACATTGCTATGAGTTGAAACTGGCTCAATGGCACTAACAACAGCAAGGGAAGAAATGCCTGAAGTTTAAAGGGCTAGTAGTAGCGTAGTGGTTACGAATCGGGCTGTGAACCATAAGGTCAGCGGTTTGAAACTACCAGCCAGAAAGATAAGGCTTTCTACTCCCGTAAAGATTTACAACCTTGGAAACCCTGTTACAGGGTCGCTATGGGTCGGAACCGACTCTATGGCACTTAACAACAACAACAATAGTTCCAAAGCTGTGCATGTCATATTGTATAAATGAATTTCAATGTGTAGTTGTTTTATGTTCATGTAAAGCCTTTTTGTTTCATGATTTTTTTCCCCTGTGGTTTCTGGTGAAGATGTAGCCATTCGGAGTACGTCATAGCACTGTCACTCTGTGATTGTATCTAAAGAGAAAGAATAATTATGTGAGCACTGTGACTTTCTGATGAACAAATTAAGCCTAATATTTATTAGTAATAACTGCTTTCTCTTGCAGTAGGTAATGAAAAACTGCAGGGTGGATTCATGTTGTGCTTCCTGGATGATGGATGTGGCATGAGTCCTGGTAAGTTAATTATCTAGATGTCTAAATGGATGTTAAAGGAAGCAGTCTGAAAATGCATAAAATAAATAAAGTCATCTGTGTAAAACAGGTGTGTAGCTATTAGAGAATATAACCTTAGACTATTGTTGAACTTCTTAAATTTAACTCTTCTAGCTGATGGAATAAATTCTATGTAATCATCTAAACCAAGACAAAAAGTGCACTTAAATAAATAGCTGAAAAGTAGAAGGCAAGAGGTGCTGATTGTTTATAAGAAAAACCATTTGGGCATGAATACAAAACAAATAATAACTGAAGGGATTCTGAGAATATTTTAAGTCTATCTATCAGGTATTAGAGTCCTGGTGTGGCACTGTAAGGTAAGCACCAGACTGCAAGTTTGATTGAACCACAGGTTTGTGGTGCAAACTCACTGGTCACTCCTTTGAAACCAAATACAGGGTTGCTATGAATTGAAACTGACTCTACAGCGATTAACAACAGCATCAGGTATTGTGTTCAAGAGTCTGAGGCAGTTTTCAGTGCTTTTAGGCATTTTTAATTTTCTGCTTAACCTCAAGATGGGAGTCCTGGTTTGAACCACAAGGTTAGCTGTAAAATCCAACTTGGAAACCCTATACAAATTCACGAGGAGTCAAAACTGAGTCCATGGCACCAGACAACAATAACCTTGAAACAGTGATTGTTTCTTTGTGTTTTAGCAGTTAGTATTTATTCTTTTCATGTTCACAGATTTTCTTACTTGTATTGAATAGTGCAATCATAACAAATTCATGTACAATAAACCAAACCAAAGCAGTTGCTGTGGAGTAAACTCTGATTCATGAAAACCCAAATGTATCCGAGTAGAACTATGCTCTGTAGTATTTTCAATGGCTAGGTTTTTGGAAGTCAATTCCCAGGTTTTTCTTCTGAGGCATAGCTGGATGAACTCTAACCTCAAATCTTTGAATTCACAATGAATTACAAACGATTGGAACTCCCCATCCCCACACAGGGACTTCTCATTTACAACATAGTCCATGAATTATCTTTGTATATTCAAGACTAGCATAAAGCCAGCATACACCAGAGGTACATATTACATATTTGCTGTGGTATTGAAATGTTATTGCCTCCAACATGAGCTTTGAGTTATTTGGAGTATCTTATTCCTGAATTCTTAGAACACTTTTTGTCTGTATCCCACAGTGCTTTTGAGTCAATTTCAACTCATAGCAATCCTGTAATGGGGTTTTCGAGAAGCAGCTGTTGCATTTGAACTTCTGACCTTGCATTTCAAGTAAACCTTGTGGTTCAGTGCATTATTCTGCTTAGCCAATGGTGACAGAGCTCATGTAATATGGAAGTGTTCTGGTCAGTTTCACACCAGAAGGAAGGCTAGTCATCAAAGCTGATATCAACTAAGGACACAAAACAAAGCACTTATTTTATTCTGGGTTTCTGAATTCTCCTTTCTGTCTTAGGAGTCAAAGTATATTTATTAGTAATCTTAGAAAATGTTCACATATCCCACCCAGTTCTTGTTATGACTTTGTTTATATAGATTTTGGTTTTTCCAGATCATTTTAATCATAAGTAGTTACTTCATTAATATATAATGAAATACGAGAAAGTACAGAGTTTATGAGAAAACCATGGTGAAAAAAAATTCACTGTTAGCCTTAAAATTAAGTTAATTTTCTTGAATTCTTAAAATAAGTGATAAAATTCTAAGGAAGTTCAAGAATCAACTCCTTTTATTTAGATCCCAAAATAAAATACTCAAAACACAACAAAAGACAAATATTCAGATCTTCAAAAGAGACTTATACTTCAGTTGATTTATACAGTTGTTGTCAATTGCCATCGATCGAGTCAGTTCTGACTCACAGTGACCCTCTATAGAACAGAACAAAGCACTGCCTGGTCTTGTGCCAACTTCTCAATTGTTGCCATGTTTGAAGCCATTGTTACAGTTACTGTGCCAATCCATTTTTTTGACAATCTTCCTTTTATCACTAACCTCTTCTTTATTAGCATGATGCTCTTATCTAGTATTGGTCTCTCCTGATAATATGTCAAAAGTATGTGAAACATAGTGACCCTATCCTTGATTGTGATGAATGTTTTGGCTGTACTTCTAAGATAGATTTGTTCATTCTTCTGGCAGTCCCTATTATATTCAGCATTCTTTACTGACACCATAATTCAAATGCATTCATTCTTCTGCCATCTTCCTAATTCATTGTTCAGCTTTTTCATGTATATGAATTGATTGGAAATTCCATGTCTTGGATAAGGTGTGCTTTAGTCCTCAATGTGACAGCTTTTTTTTTTAACATTGTCAAGAGATCTTTTAAAAACAGATTTGCCCAATGCAATATGTCAATTGATTTATTGATTGCTGCCTCCATTGGTGTTGATAGTGGATCCAAGTAAAATGAAATCTTTAACAGCGGAGGTCATTTCTCCATTCATTTACTTATTGTCCAGTTATGAGGATTTTGGCTTTCTTTATGTTGAGGTGTAATCCATGCTGAAAGTGGTAGTTTTCATCAGTAAGTGTTTTGAGTTTTCCTGACTGTCAACATACAAGGTTATGTGTGTCATCTACATATCACAGATTGTTAATGAGCCTTCCTTCAATCCTGATGTTATGTTCTTCATGAAGTCCAGCTTCTTGGATTATTTGCTCAGTACACAGATTGAACAGGTATTGGGAAAGGATACAACTGTGTTGTGCAACTTTTCTGATTTTAAACCATGTTGTACCCTCTTGTTCTCTTTGAATGACTGTCTCTTGCTCTATGGATAGGTTCAACCTGAGCATTTTTTTTTACTAATTATATCCATAATTTTTTTTATGATTCATGAAGTCAAGTGAGTTTGCATAGTCAGTAAAACACAGGTAAACATCTTTCTGGTATTATCTTGTGTCTTCCATGGGACGTTAGCATTAGTATCTCTCATTCTGATAGTGCATCTCTTCTGAATCTTGCTTGGATTTCTGGCAGCACCCTGTCAATGTATTCTTGCAATAGTTCTGGAATTATATTCAGCAAAACTTTACTTACCCATGATGTGTGATGGTTAGAGTTTTGTGTCACCCTGGCTATGCCAGCATTCTCAGTGGATTAGCAGGTATTATTGTTAGGTGCCATCATGTCTGTTTCAATTTATAGCAACTTCATGTACAACAGAACAAAATAGCTGCCTGGTCTTGTACCATCCTCACAGTTGTCATGCTTGAGCCTATTATTGCAGCTACTGTGTCATTCCATCTCATTGGGAGGCTTTTGTCTACTTTACTGGCTCTCCACTTTGCCAAGAATGATACCGTTTTTCAGGGATTGGTTCCTCCTGATGACATGTCCAAAGTATGTGATTCGATGTCTCTCCATCCGTCCTTCTAAGGAGCATTCTGGCCTGCACTTCTTCCAAGAAAGTTATGCTTGTTCTGGCAGTCCATGGTACTTTTAATATTCTCCTTCAGCACTCTAAATGATACGCATGCATTCATCTGTGGTCATCCGTATTTATTGTTCAAATTTTACATTCGTAAGAGCCAACTGAAAATACTATGGCTTGGGTCAGACATACTTTAGTCCTCAAACTGACATATTTGCTCTTAATGTGAATGGGGCAAAGAGGTCTTTTGCAGTAGACCACAGCGGATTTACCAAATACAATATGTCTTTTGGTTCATTTTCTCTGTATATCATGATGTTTTTTCATTGATCCAGTTGTGAGAATGTTTTACTTATATTGAGAAGTAATCCATACTGAAAGATGTATTCTTTGAGCTCCATCAGCAAGTGCTGAAAGTTTTCTTCACTTCCAGCAACCGAGTTTATGTCATCTGTATAACACAGGTTGTTAATGAGTCTCCTTCAGTCCTGATGCCACATTCTTCTTCATATAATCCAGTCTCTCAGATTATTTGCTCAGCATACAGATTGAAGGAGTATAGTAAAAGGATCCAACCCTGGCACACACTTTTCCTGATTTTAAATTGTCCAATATCTCCATGTTGTTTTTAAACAACTGCTTTTTGGTCTATGTACAGATTTTTATAAGCACATTTATGTGTTCTGGAATTTCCATTTTACTCAATGTTATCCATATTTTGTTACCATCCACACTGTTGAATGCCTTTATATAGTCAGTAAAACACAAGTAAACATCTTTCTGTTACTATTTGGTTTCAGCCAAGGTCCATCTAACCTCATTCCTTGTCATCTTTTGAATCCAGTTTGAATTTCTAGCAACTTCCAGTTGGTTTACTGCTGCAACCGTTTTTTCAATTATCTTCAGCAAAATTTTGCTTGCATGTGATATTAATAATATTGTTTGGTGATATCCACATTCATTGGGCCATCTTTCTTTGGAATGGGCACTGAGATAGATCTTTTCCAATGGGTTGGCGAGATTGTTGCCTTCCAGATTTCTTGAATGCCTCCAGCACTGAATCAGTTTGTTGAAATATTTCAGTTTGTATTCCATCAGTTTTTAGAACCTCCTATTTTGGCAGTGCCTTTAGTGCAGCTTGGACTTCTTCCTTCAATACCATTTGTTCTTGATAATATGCTACCTCTTGAAATGATAAAACATAAACCAATTTTTTTGTTATAGTAACTCTGTATACTTTTCATTTTCTTTTGATGAGTCTTGAATC